TCTCTCTCTCTCTCTCTCTCTCTCTCTCTCTCTCTCTCTCTCTCTCTCTCTCTCTCTCTCTCTCTCTCTCTCTCTCATGTTCTCTGCTTTACTGTGTGTCTTTCAGTGTGACTGGTTTGCCCAGCGAAGAGGACTGGCCCAGGGACAGCCCGATCTCATACTCGGTCAGCTGGGGACCAAAGGGCTCCTGCACCAAGCTGCTGCACAACCTGGGCCCAGACGAGAACGACCTACTATCTGTGAGCAGATCTGTGTTTCTGTTTTCATGACATCTCACAGCCGGAGTTACACACTCGCAGAGAAAGGCCGACTTTGTTAAGTTTCAAATAGTTTTGAAACAGAATGAATAAATTCGCTTTTGACCAATTATATATTGAATGTACAGACAACATAGATAAAAGGTTAAAGTGCTTTAGACATAAAAATATGGAAAATAAGATGGAAAATAAAACACTTGATAAAAGATCTAGATAAAAATATAAAAATGAGATGAAATAGAATACATAAAATGCATAAAATCAGATGGAAAATAAACCCACGAAATAATGACAATAAATTCAGCCTACGATTTTCTTTTCTACATCAGTGGTGGAGATTGAATTTGTGAAGTACACTCTCCAGCATTTCCACAGCATGACATGGCTCGACTGGACTCAAACCGTTATTTTTGGTTTTCCATGCATCAAAGTTGTGGAGAGTACCTGATACGTTTTTGGTATTACCTCAGTCGAGGTTTCAAGAGAGCTGAACAGATACTAGAAGGTGGAGTTAGAAAAAGTGTTTTCTAAAAGTTAATACATATTTGATATCTGAAAAACCCAGAACGTCATTTAAAATATAAAGTATATGCAAAAAATATTCCGTTGCTCGATAAAAAAAAAAAAATAAAGATTTTTAACCTTTTTCCCAAGGTGTGAGTTAAAGTAAGGTGTTCTCCAAAGCCAGTAAGAGTCATCCTCTGGGAACCACGATCAGCTGTACACAATTTTGTAGCATGTAGTCCAACAGTTGCTGTGATATTCAGTCTACTCCCAGATGTGTGGAATGATCAGCATTGCTATCTCCAGAGCCATGATGCCAAAAATAGCCAATATTTTCTAGTTCAGCTTCACAATTGTAAAGAGTTGCATGTTTATCTGCTGATTATAAATAGATGTTTTTGTTGTGTTTTCGGCTACCTGTCAAACTTAATATGTAGTGACTGTTTGAGAGTTTGTACAGTAGACGATTAACAGATTATTCAAATAATTCAGATGCATCTAAAACAAAAAGGATCACAGCAGCATCACTGAGACTCTACACAGCGCCTTTCTCCAAGCTGTTTGTAAGGTGTGACCTCTCCTTACCTGCAGCAATGTTTGGCATTCAGACCGAGCCGTCGCATCTCAGCTGCCAAAGCCCTGGCCCATCCTTTCTTCATGAAGCACTGAAGCTTTGGGAGAACAGAAACGTCCGCTCCTTCTGCTTCTCTACTGTCAGCTGTCCTAGCTAGTCTTGTGCCATTAATATCCATGGCACACTTTGCATCATGAGAAACTGTGGTCCGGATTGATTAAACACCTTTGCACCTTTTAAACATCAGTGTATAGAAACGTATTATGCCTGACGTGTAGAACATGACTCGGATGGTTCGAAACACAGTGACATATATTTAGAAATGATTTTCAAATATGTATTTGATAAGAAAAACATGAGACTTTTTTTTTTTTAAGGAGTTTGATTTACTTATAATTTGACAAGCATTCATATGAACGTAGTAAAAGTATGTTGTTATTTGATTAGAATTTGATAGTACGCTGTGTATTTCCACAAAACGTCCGCTACTTTGTTGTTGTTGAGTGTTACCATTAAAAATAACAATTCTGTTTTTCTTTCAACTATCAACGCCACTAGTATGAGCACCTTTATTAAGTTGACGCGTTGGTTAAATGTTTTTTCACCGAAACTTTTTTTGTTCTAGACTCGTGTATGAAGTCCTTTACTTGTGTTATTGTGAAGGTATTTATGGTGTAATCACTGGAATGGATTGCACCTGTATTTATGTTTGTATTGAAAGATTGTACAAGATATTTCTTTTTTTCCATGAGTTGCACTGTTCATTCAAGAAGCATTTCTATAAATCATTGTCTCTCAAACCCGTCTCTGCGTTTGAATGCGACACCATCGATAGTTGATACATTCAGGTTGATTAGAAGGTCTGATGGGTTTGGTTCTGTGGCTGATGGTGCGTTTGAACATGGTGAGGTCTGGTCCTGCGCTCGTGTGAACAGTTCATTTTAGAAGTAGATAGAGATGATGAACGGATATCTTTTCTCTTGCAACTGTACAGTCCGAACAGAAGGGGGCAGTGCTGAAACAGTAAGGGAACATAATGGGTCCTCGCTTTGCCCACAGTCAGAAAACGTTGCCAGTATTTGCTCCCCACTTAACGATCATATCACCCAAATTACAAAACATTTTTTACCTCTAGTGGTGTCTTGCTGAAGAAACCAACCAGTGTTCCAATGCTAGAAAGACAAAGAGCCTAAAGTTTACCGTGTTTAAAATAAAGTAAAATAAATTCTAAGTTTTCAAACTAGATTTTGATGTACTTTAAGTAATATGTTTATTTGGTTAGTATTGTGCTTCAGATTTGGGAATTAACCAACGATTGATCGCAATTATTCAAATGACCAAAAACAAAACAACTGACGTGAAGTCATTTGACGTGAAGCTCGAAACGCCACAAAAACGCACGCGACCACAGCTCTAGGAGAGCTGCGTCTTTGGTTGCCATATTTACGGCTGCTTCCTGGACGGTGGCGGGGACGTCCCGGGGTTTGTCCTTCTATTTATACTCTCCCCCTCGATACGGCGAGCCCTCCGCAGCTGCGAGTGTGACTACATTTGGAGCGACAGTCCGGTTGAAGGGGGCCAGTGGGGAGGGACCGCCGGTCTGAGGAAGGGCAGCGGCACCACTCATGCCCCGGTTCACACGGCGCGTGGTTCATGTAAGTTCTCCATTCTACCCCCGTTGTCTCTAATAACGAATTTACAGTCGAAAATGTAGCCAGGCGCCAGCTAGGACCAAGTTCTGAATTTGTCATCACTGTTGGTGTTTGTTCTGTCAGAACCTGCTGAAGTGTGGGTAGTACGGTGGTCATGGAGCTTCTGGTGTCCGGTCACTTTGCAAGCCTTGTGTTAAAAGTTGTGTGTAGTATTGTCTAAAATATGCTTGGAACATGTTTTACGCGCAATTTACGCACGAACGAAACGGCAAGAACAGTTAATCTTAACACCTGTTTGTGTGTTAGCCTTCTCTCATTATTCCCCAACTGACTCAATTATGGTCTTTGCCTTTTGTCAGAATACTTTATTTTTGTTCTCTATGAATTACTATAACATATTTCAATTTAAAAGTACTTTGATAGTCCAAACATGTATGAATGTATGTTACTCTATGCGTCTGGTGATTTCAATGTTCATCTATTTTTTTCACAATCCATTTTAAATATTAGGAGTTTTGACACTCTGGGTAGCTATTAGTTAGACAAATGAATAAAATGTTTATCTGAAATGTTAAAACTGCCATCAGAGCAGCTGTTAATGTGCTACATCCCGCTGGGAGCTAACAAGTGGATTAGGGTGGTTACATGAGGAGAAAGCTGGTACTCTTTGACCTGCAGCCACATGCCTTTTAATGTAGGGATCAGGCCAAAGGTCAATGCAATATCTACATGAACACATCCAGAGTCACGACTTTTGCTGCTGAACACTCGCATAGTGGATGTATGAAGGAAAGGTCTCTGAGAATTCCTCATGCTTCATGCAGGTAGACCAGCCAGGACAGGTGTAATTGGTCGGAGGCTTATTCCTGGCTCGCCTTTTAATCAGGTTTACTCTGCTGCTGCTGTCTGCACTTTGAGTAAAACCAGTCTGTCAGCATGTAACATATATATATCCGGTAAGGTTGAAAGTGCTATTGGGAGTGTTTGAGGAATTCATCTGTTAAACTGTGTAGAAGATTTGGATTCATACCCTTAGCTTGACACTAATTGGCTTTTGCTTAACCCTCTTGATATTTTCATTAGAATATCAAACCATTGTGGAAGTTTCCCTGTCCGAGTAGGTAGAGAATGGGACCTGTGTGCTCATCCACAGGCTTTATTTCAGAGCTAGTGTCGCTGGATTAGAAGCCAATGATCCCTGTTGAGCCTCTATGGCATTTCCCCCCCCCTCCAATCGGCAATCCTGCAGCTTGTCACGTGACTTTTTGCTCTTTAAACAAGAGTGGCCACTTTCTTGTGTTCTGCCGGCAAAAAACATAAAGGAGTGTGGCGTCAGGGGCACCGGGGATGCTCGTGGCTTGCTCACTCCGAGTTCTCCAAATCTGGTTCAAAGCACATGTACGCATGTTTTGAAGTGGCAACACAGACACATGGAACACACATCTTTGAGCTTGTTATCTTGTGAAGGGATCAGTCAATCTCCTGCTGACAATGTCTGCAAATGTGGCCTTCAGTTTATTCAAGATGGCTTCGTTAATAAAAGGCAGACCTGACCAGTAGTTGTGCAGGCTATGTCATCGCACTATAGTCACTCTGTATTTCTGTCCAGCAGTCTAAGAGAAGCAGCAAACATGCTAAAATAAACTTGCATCTTTTACTTTGTGAGCTGTACTGTCACCAGAGCCATTCAGCCCTGCTGCAGATATATCTGCTTTACTAAGTCGGTGGCTCACGTCGCTTTGTCCTCGCTCCATTGTGCTTCCTGCATCAGGAATGCTGACATCCACAGTTTCAGCGCTCATAGTCGCTCATTTGTGAACCTATCTGATGGTTAGCTGCTGTCTTTAAATGCAAATCGTGTCATATCTGTGCTATTTATATGTGGCTTACAGCCTCAAGCGTTGTTAGTGTTGTTTATTCACCTCCAGGCAACCACGATGTAGCCAACTGGGAGTTTTTATTGGCTCATCTTTGTCAGCACGTTGCCTGGGAACATGCGCATAATTTAGATAGGTCATAAAATAATTTTAATCCATAGCCAATCAGGGATTCATTGCACCTTGTTTGATAACATTTGAACAAGAGGTTACAGTCAGTGTTGTGGAGAAGACCAGCAAGCCTGAATCCTCGGTGACATCGAGGCCCAGACCCAGAGTGGAGCGGAGGTGTTGAGTTTCAGTGCAAGGGGAGATCCCTGCATGGCACTGCAAGCGGGCGCAGGTCATCTTACATGGTCTCTAGCAAGAGGATGCACTTTTAGAGAAATTAGTTAATTTATAATGAAGCCTCAGTCATGAACCTCTCTAGGAAGACGTGTACAGACTGCTGAAGGGCACGTGAGTGGTGAGTCTCTGTCTGAGTTAGCCTCTGACCTATTTTTTGTTTGCTTACTCCTCTTTCGGGAGCAATGTCTCACCCGTCAAGGAACAGATTGTTCTTCAACCTCTGATTGGTGGACATTCAGCTAAGACAGTCTTTAGGTCCAATGGAATCTGAATTTTACCGGAGGCTCTCGTGTATTGACTTAGCTGAAAAGTGGAGAAAGAACAACCCGTCTGATTTCTGTTCCTAAATGCTTTGCAATTGTTCGAGGAGCAGATAATCGACTAAATCCTCCCGAGGGACATGGACGCCACGGAGAACCCAGTCCTGGAGCCCAGGTCGGAGCGGATCGCTCGCTATAAAGCCGAGAGGAGGCGAGAGCTGGCCGAACGCTTTGGCAACATGGAGGAGCTACCTTCCAAGTGGGTGAGGAGGGATGGGAAGGAGGGGCACGACCCAGCGAACGAAGCCCACAGAGGGACTTTGAACTCAGATGGCCTCAGTGAGAGAGTGAACGGCAGGACGCGAGGAGTTACAAATGGATTGGAGGGTCCTGCAGAGTCCAACCACTTGAGAAGGTGAGTCATGTCTGCAGTGAAGGGTGACTCCATTGAGTGAGTAATGCAAACATTACACAGCCTTCACGCAGGGCTAATGTTTTCATAAAATCCCCAAATGTTGTTTTATTAAAAATCATATATGTGAATGTAAATATGTAAATAACCAAAGAGGTTTTGCGTTGTGTGGATGCAGCAAAGTGTTTGTGTCTTTATGTTTTCTCGAGCCTAAATGTGGAGGAGAGCAGGTGTCTCCTGGGCTTAATTTGTCCAAACACCAATAAAGCAACATGCCTACTTCCTAACCCCCGATGACACCTTTCACCTGCTTCAACCTTTTCCACCTTGACATCAATGCAAACTGTAGGTGTCGTCCTAAAATAACACAACGGATAGTAAATATTTTGGTAACGGCGTCATATAAATATCACCACTGAGGAGAATGGTAGTATAACCAGAGAGAAAACTGTATACTGTGTAGAAAATGCACACAAGATGATGGCTTTCTTCTTCTTCTTCAGAAGCATTAAAAGAGTCTGATCCTCCTCCCTTTGTTTTAGTCACTGCTACTGAACAGCTTCACACAGACCTGGATACAATTAGAGGCCAAATAAGTCTTGATTTTAGACTTGAGAGATTATAGTATTCAGGATGTATTTACAACTTTTCTGAAGTTCACAATGTAAATCCCAGGAAGTTATACTACCAGTTTTTGAACTTGGTCTGCTTCTTACCCGCAACCTTTGAGCAGCTCCAGAGCCTTGACTTCACCAGTTGCTCTGCAACCTTTGTTACTAATTCAAACCGAGCGATCTAAATCAGTGGGTCCCAGCAGGGAACGATAAAGCCAGTCTGATTCTTCTTCTGCAGTTGATTGGTACGCTTCCGGTCTGACACTTTTCCCATCATGTGGTCTGGGTGCTTTTCCTCAGAGGAACTAGAGACTGCTAACCTCTTTAGTGTCAGAAAAAAAAAGGTACAACGTTGCACCTTTCATGATTGGAGCTGCACACTTTTTTTTGCTGCTCTTGATCGAAAGGTTCAAGATTGAGTTTTTTCCCCCCCGAGAGAGTTCCTCACCCCTACATTGGCCACACCTGCATCCTCACTTCCTTCCCCGCACTCCCGCCCCCTCCAGGCAGGGTTCCCCGGACTCTGCCAGCATGCTGAGTGGGGAGGGGCACCTCGTCCCTGTAGGACTCGATGCCCCGCAGCTCCACACTCGAGTGTCGGTGGGCCAGTTGAGAAGTGCTCTTCTGCAGCAGACGGGGAGCGGAGCGCAGCCCGATAAAGTGTAGGGTCACCTGCATGTGTGTGATCCAGTCTCACTGTCAGCCCTCTGTACCTCTGTGGCTGTATTTGTTCTCGCCTCAACATCTTCTTCCCCTCCCTCCTCCTGCTCCGTTTGTGTGGATACTAGTTGCCCTGATGCTGGGCAAGCCACGTCCTCTCTGGATCTGGCTGTGAAGCCGGGCTCTGAGGGGGGCCGCCGACGCTCCCGGCGGTACCTCCACGGTGGGTCAGGTGGTGGTCGCAAGACAAGCGAACGCTTCAGGACACAGCCGATCACAGCCGATGAGATGGAGGAGAGCAGCGGGTAGGGACTGTGTGCTGTGGTGCAAGATGAGGCACGTGGTTTGGGTTTTGCCAAAGAAGATGCTGTTTGCAGCGTTTTGCTGACATGTTTTTAAAGTAGTGTATGACTAGTTTCCAGAACCACTTACATCTGGTAACTTCCAAGGCTTTCAAATTGCTGACGGTTTGTGTTTGACTGCATTTTTATTAGCAAAGAGCAGATATCAAAGTGCAGCACCTTTTACATAAATGCCCACGGGTGGTGTGGTTTGCATGTGTTTGTCCTCCGTCATGACCTCCACAGTGTTTCTTTACCGAGCATGCAAATATGACACAGTATCTTGATTGTTCGGAGCTGCATACTGAAGCACAAAGACATGTATTGTAAAGCTTGCTGCGCGGATCTGAAAGAAGAACGCACAGGAGCCGGAGATTCAGCTCCACATCACCAACCTGTTTGTGTTTCACCTGGTGACTTCATGTTGTGCCTCTTTTCCCTCTTCTAGGCAGTTGGACGCAGAGGAAGAGGAGAACCGTAAAGGTAAAGCTGCGTTCCCGCCTGGCTTTAATCACACAGTTTGTTATTGTGTTCAGAGACAAACAGCTTTTGTCTGTTACGCTGCTACGCTGGCCGTGTGAACGGTGACACAGAGAGGGAGAAGGTCACAGCGGCACAATAATGGCCACCACTGACACAACATGATGTAAACACAATGATGGCAGGAGGGAAAAAAGTTAAAGTCTTCAGTGGGATATTAAGGGGCAACAGAAGGATCATAAACACCATTTAAAAAAAGACATTTTCATCACACGCGTCTTACAAAACAAATATTTAGAGTGCATCCAACTTGCACAGTTGCCTCCACAAAGCCATATAACAGCTCATAAAATGAATCGGGTTATATTTTAAGGCCCACAATGTTTAAACTCCTCTGTGATGACAGATTTATGTCTCACAAAACCATGTGAGCGGTGGAGCACTGCTCAGTCAGTCTCCCCCCCATAAACCATAAAAAGATTACAAGCAAGTCTTTAAGATTGACTCGCAGAGAATTTACACCACAACTACAGACACAAGCAGACAATCTAGACTTTCTTGCTATTTGGACTCATTTCAGGCCTTATGTTGTCTGCCATTCACTTTACAGTGTATTCACTCTACAAATACAACACAAGTTAAAGGGCTAGTTCTGATTTTTTTTTTTAAAGTGGTTTTATATGAGGTAGTTATCTTTAGTCAGTTTATTATTACCTTCGGCAGATGGACATTGGCGCTCCCCCAGCTGGGAGAAGCAGCAAAGCAATGTGCTGCCGGGGGCGGCAGCAAAATGTAGTTTTTAAACACCTAAAAGAAGAAGTGCAGGCTGTATTTAGAAAAGTTTACCTGCCAATGTCTACTCTCTCTTTAAAGCCACCTTTGTCAAAAACAGTAATTTTTCCTCACAGAACAAGGGAGCTGCTCGTCTACAGCCGCCTCGATCACTTATTTTGTTTGTGTTGTTGTTTGACTTTGGTGTTTTAAAGGGTCAGTTTATCACAGAAAATCACAAACTAACCGATTGAGGCCTGTTTGATCTCCAGCACCTTCCTTAAATTAGATGGTGTCTGAAATGTGTGATGATTCATGAACTGTTAATGACACAGTGATTAATGCCGTTTGTCTTCTCACAGCTGATGTGAAAACAGACGACAGAGCCAAAATGAGTGTGGCAGCCAAGATGTCTTTGTTTAAAGTGAGTCTATGTCCGTCTCTGCACTGAAATGGGATCCTTGCTGCTGCTCATGACCTGCTTCTTCTCTCTTATGTTATGTGCTGTCTGTTGCCCGCTTCTAAATACGATCCATCCGAGGCGTTTCCCTGCTTCTCCATCTGAAGTGATGGAGACGTCCGTCCACGCACAGTCACAGCTGAATAATTTAAGGCTTTCTGAAAGTTTACTCATGACAATTAAGCTGCGATGAACTCGTCTAACTAGATCTGCTGCCAACTGCAAACTCAAATTCATCTAATAATGACAGATGCCCCATACTACATCAAAAGCTACTATTATGAACTGGTGATAAGTTATCGAGAAATGTATTGAACAGCCAGAGAAAGCTCCGTCCATCAAGGACAGTCATCTCGGCTACTCGCCTTACGGTTTGAGACGCATGGCGAGTCAGCGCTGAGCACGCAGAACACAACCTGCTCATGTTGAGAGATATGAATGGTTAAACAGGTGCACTGTTTATGCTACGGTGTGTCTGTTTGTACTTATCAAAAGAAAGACTAAATTTACAGTGTGAAAAACACAGTTCTTGTCTCTGCACAGAAGATGAAACACTGTTTTTTTCCAATCTCCATTCCTTTTCACCTCCTGCACACTTTGTCATGAAGCACCAGGTGTAAATGTGCCAGACACTGTATTACCATTAACAACCATAGCAGCGGTGTATATAATTAGCCTGCTCCTCTGTGGAGGCAGGCGGGGAGGTAACTGAAGCCGGCAGAGCTCTGGTTACACTGTGACCGGTTGGGCTGGCATTCTATCCATGTAGCCAACACGCTCCACCTTACAGCAAGCTGCTTTATTAACCAGCTAATCCAACCCACCTCCCCTCCCGCCATCCGTCCATACAAATAGAACAGGAGACATCAGGAGAGGAGAGTTTTTACTGCCATTTTTGTGGTCTCCCTTATTACTTATTTAGCAGGTGAAGGCTGTCGATTGGAGATGCTAAAAGGACCAAATGCGACGGTCAAAATGTCATGTGCTGATATTAACATGTTTCCCCGCCTCCTCCGTAGGAGCTGGAGAAGTCTGCCCCGCCAGAGGCCTCGGCCTACCTAAAGCCTCGCTCGGGGAGCGTCTGTCACGAGCGCAGAGTGCGTCGGGGAAACGAACATCGATTTCTTACTCAGCCAATCACCTGTGAGGAAATCGTGGCAATCAGGTGGGCGAGCCTAGTGGCCACATGGAGGGAGATTTGAGCTTCAGTACACATTTAGTGCTCTCCGGCAGCAGTACGGTGTATGTGGGATTGACTCATGATAAACTACCCTGTTCATGTTGATAAAGGAGCACGTCATCCAGTGCAACAGTGTGCCTGAGCACACAAGATCTAGCAAGATCAATTCATTATTAGTTTTGCTTTTATTTTGTGATCATAAGCCTCTTTTATATAACGTGTGTTCATGTTTCTCTGCAGCACCCCCAAACCAGCACCACCAGTGGAGTCCCAGTCCTTGCAGGCGGAGTCGGTGGAGGATGGCGATGAGAGCTGCAAGCTGACCATGAGTGAGAAGCTGGCCCTGTTCAACAAACTCTCCCAGCCGGGGAGGGAGGGGGGCGACCCCGCTGACGGGCCCCCAGAGAGACGGAGGCAGAAGGGGGCTCGGTACCGCACTCAGCCCATCACTGTGGAGGAGGTCGGCCTGGTGAGTAGACAAGCCAAAAATCTGTGTTTTATACAAAAGTAACAATAAAAGACGGTCAATACTAAAACCGAAACGAAGAAAGAACACGAGAGAAAGTGCTTTTAGAGGAGACAGTGAAGGCTTTTAAGATTAAATATACATCATCTCTGACTATAAAGCATGTTTCTAAATCAAGTACATTTTGAAAATGATCGATACCTACTGTATGTCTCACCCTTTGGTCTCTGCTCAGCTCCAAAAAGGCCCTGTACAGCTTCCCGCCTTCTGTTTGTCCCGTCGTCTGTCCGACAGACAGCAGGCCTCGTCTGTCAACCTGAAACCCAGTGAGATACACTTTTCCCAGCCAAGACCTGACACTGGTCCTGTGCCTGCTGACCCCACTGGCTCTACCCGGCAGGGCCTACAGCACCACGACCATGAGCCAGTCTTGAGAGGAATCCTGAAGAAGAGCTCCTCCGGAGGCTCAGAGTGGAGCAGGAAGGAGAGTGGTCACACTGATGCACCTTCCAGCCATGAACAGAATGGCGAAGGCTGTGTAGAAGCAGGGATGCATGGGAGTAGGGAGAGCGCAGAGCTGCAGGAAATGTCTGCAGCACCACGGAGGAAGAGAGGAGAAGCTTCAGGTGGGGAGGGAGGCTCACTGGCTGCCACTCCCTGGAGGCAGAGGACTCGAACCAGGAGGGAAACCATTGCCTGTACACCGATAAGAGCCATGTCGGAGCAGGACACTCCTCAGGAGGAGAGGCCCTGCCAGACAAAGCTGCCGGGACAGCTGCTTTCCTCTGCGGATCACAGCTCAGATACGACTGTGAGAGTTCAGTGAGTGATGCATGTCTCATTATAACCAAAAAAAAGAAGAAATTTGGGGAGAACATCGACTGCTTCATGTATTAGGGACGGCTCTCAGCAGTTTTAGGATGCCAATTGAACTGAAATACAGTTTTTGGGTAGCATTTAGAAATGTTCTTTGGCTTATATTCTGTATATTTGTTGTGTCCAAAAGACAGCCGAATGACGAAGACAGTGCGAGGAGGATGAATGAAGAAACAACAGCCACAGGACATGTCCAGGTCACACTGGTAGATGGCACCGTTAAACTGCAGGAGTCAACCAACACCAGCAGAAGTAAGGTGAGAAACAAAGATATGTCACACTGTTACTGCAAAAGGTCTGTGATATCTTCAGTATGTGCAGCGATGATCTCAGAGGACCAAATCACAGCTGCAGAATCAACAGCTGCTCTGCTTCTTGTCTGTAAAGGGGAAAGAGTTTGGCCCTCCATCATCTCTAATCCTTTCAAACCCACTGGCTCCAAACTAGACTGTCAGCAGAGACAGATACAGTCTAATTTCACTTTTAAGCTTTCAGTTTGATTTACTCACTTAAATCTTCCTAAACTAAATATTTGGGTTGTCAAACGAATCCAGAGGTGATATAGAATATATAGTATAGATGTGTTCATTTAGTTCGCTTTCCAGCGGCCACAGTAATCAAGCTTTATCAGCTACAGGAAGCTACTGCTCTACCCTCACTTACACTTACAGCCGAGGAAGACTGTCGTGCACTATTCCGGGAGTCAAAATGCTGCTAGCTCCTCTGCACATTTTTCATATTAAAATTCGTAGTCATTGATCTCCAAAGCACCTCAGTCAAAGATAAGACGGTGTAAAGGACAGCACTTGGATTGTATCTTTAAATATGTATATCTTTGCATCTTTATCCTCACACTTCTGAAAAACATCAATATAGTGTAATTTGATGTGGTCTGAAATCCCCATTTTATTTTCTGCTTTGAATTCTATTTCAGATTATATACCCAAACATTCGCTGTAAGCAAACATCCTGTCACCTTGCTGGCTGTATAAAACACAGGCTGCTGTCATGTCAAGTCATGACAAAAGAGAAACCTGAAACATGTCATGTTGGTGCAGTCACAGTTGCCTGAATGAATGAATGAATGAAAGAGTGAGAGAGATCCACAGGGTGGCACGATTCAGTAACACTTTGTTTTCAGGAAAGCATAAGGCAGTCCACTCGACAGGTATCAAGAAAATTACACTTTGACTTAAAACTATTCTTTAAACTGGTTAAATCCACAGATCTTGTAGTGTTTTGGTCTAAATTCTTGGGGAAAGCAACCACGGGCTTTGTTGAAATTAGTTTTGAGGTTGTTGGGTTCACTCCGTTTGAAATCCAGAATGAGAAGAGGCCAGTGGTTAGATCGGTGCATTTGTCATTCCAGTGAAACCAGATATAGCATCTCTTAGCAACTGCACTCTGGATTTGGTAGGTGCTAAATGTCTTGAGATCAGATTAGAGTTACTGGGGAATATCTAGTGTTCTTGTACTGAGAGGGGTTTGACTGTCTCAGAGCATTATGTGGAATGTAAACAGACTGATTTGATTCTGGTGGTCAAATGTTGACCCTTTTATGACCTTATGAACTCAGCTGCACCGCGGTGACATGTGTGTGTACATGTACTGTGTGTGTGTGTGTGTGTGTGTGTGTGTGTGTGTGTGTGTGTGTGTTAAGGGCACCACCAGGCAAAAACAATGATAAATTTTTAAGATTATGGGCTATTTTGCTTCCACAACGTCAAAATGTCTTCTTGCAGACTAGTGGAAAGAAAACATCCAAAATAGTTGTTTTGGTGTTTGTTACTACTTGTGTAGATTTCTCCTAAATTCACCAAAAGCTAGCATAAGATAATGCCTCATTTGTATATTTAAATGTAACGTTTCAGAAAGCTTGTATGACAAAAAAACAACTGTCCTCATGTAATTTAACAGCTGGATAAGTTTCACGGTGATATCTTTTTTTACTTCTGCAGGAAGAGACAGAAAACCTTCATGGGGAGGGTGTCAACACTCAGTGCTGGGTACGTTTTCCACTAATACTTTGAAATGCATAGATCCATCTAAATCCCTATTATGAAGATTGTATGAATCACTAATTTTACAATAGCTTTAGCCTACCCCTTTCTCTTCTCTCCCAGGAACCCGTCTTTGCCTCTGTCTATTCTAGCAGTACACACCAATATATCATGTGTTTCAATCAGGTAATTGTTTGAGTCCCTGCATGGCTGGCTCATAGTCGCTTTTTGATTTGCAGTGTTTTGTATGCAGTGAAAAGTTTTTTCCGTCGCACAGTCTCACATGCAGATGATGTGTGAAGTTTCACTCTCGATAACGAGTGTACTCTGTCACCTGCGGAGTGTTTTTTTTTTTGTTTGAAAATGATCCTCCTTCTGAAAGACACATCGCAGCTCTCACGTATCAGTTTCTGTTGATTATATTCTTTTTTTGTTCTCTTACACAAAACTTTTTTCTGTCATATGTCCATATCCAACCTTCCTAATTTTAATTTTAACAATTGGAAACAACGTTTGAGAAAGACAAAAGAAAGAAAAAGAACCAAGCTGGAGTTTTGTCAACACTAAAGAACTCACCTGTTGCTTACTCATCCATGTATTCTGTTGTTACTTAATCTTCAGACAAGTCTGTCCTTTGAGGCACAAGAAGTCTCCTCTTCTACCAAAGACCAGATTGTGCCTCAGTGGAGACAGAAGGTGACACAGAGCTACATCTCTCTTTCCCGTTTTAATCCACCTACGAGCTCATCTGTTTCCTACATGAACACGTCTGTTTTTATGACTTTATAGAGGATTGACGATGAGATGGACGAAGTTGAGGAAATTAATACAGAGCAGGAAAGTAAGACGCAGGAGACCGCATGTATGAACAAGAGAGGTGAGTTTACTTGTTCTGGTTTTCTCTACTCTCATTATATCTCTTATCTTCACCTCAGGAGGTTTGTGTCTCTGACTCGTGCCCTCTGTTTCCGTTAGGATCTCCAGAATCGGACAGAAATGACATCTCTCCTAACGAGGAACTCTCCTCTGAAGCTCCAACATGCTCATATGAAGGTTAGAGCTGCATTAGATATAAATAAAAACTCAGTTTTTTATTGTTTGTTTCTCTCTAAACTGTTTACTCTTATTTGCTTAACAGAAATCCTCATGCAGTCTCTGGTTGAGTTTGAAGGTAAGGTCATGTAAAGCCTCTCTGATATAAGTTGTTAAAGTCTTGAGTATTTTATTTCATACTTCCTGTCCCATCCCCCTGCAGCTCCACAGAGCTCCCCGCTCTCAGTGGCCCCACTTGAAGTGAGGGCGGAGACGCCTGTGGGTGAATCAAACGCGTTCGATGCTGGTTCCTACAGAGATCGGTCGCCTCCCTCGGCCTGCGCCCCCCAACCCTGTGGAGACGTTGCTGCTGCAGAGAGTGAGCAGGACCTGAGTGTCCTCTGCCAAACCAACGCACCCATGTGAGCCTGGTTTTTACCACATATTGTATCTATCTGAGCAATAATCTATACTATGCTATGGCCTCTGACAGGTGTGGAAGTGATCTTTATTTCAGGAAGATAAATTGCACCACATCTATATTTGTAATAATAATACCGTAATCTACTGTATAGTTCACTGACAGACATCAGGGCTGAAATGCATAAAAATCCCAAGAAATGGTCCTAAAAATTTAACTTTTTAAGCCATAAATAAACTGATAAAGAAAAAAGTAGAATCTTCCCCATGATAATAGTTATATTGACAATATTCAATTTAGAATATTATTTATTTATATAAATTAATTTAAGAGGGATACACTAGACATTTTAAGTGGTAACATTTGTCGTGGTTCTTCATGTTGTTTTTATGTAATTAATTCTGAAACGCCTTAAAACCGAAAAAAAACTCATGTTTTTACTGGAGGTCGTGTCTAAGTTTTCGGATTCATTGTTGCCCTTTTAAATACACCAAAATGATTGTATTTTATAGCCCGGCCAATACAATACGTACTACCTTTTTTCAATTTGATATCGATGTGGTTTGTGTGCTGAATCCATCGATTCCAACTCTGGTCTTTGTTGTGAATTCTCTGCCTCTGAGCATGTAATACAGCCATCTGCTGGTGAGTCCCAGCAGGGTTAGCACACTTCTGCAGCTCTCTCAAATCTCGTAACTGTCTCAAAAGTTATTGATGGCACTAAATTTAATTTCTTCGATTAAGGGCAAAATCACTCTGTTGTGCACTAAAGACCAAAGTTTACTCTGTGCGGCTTTATGCTTCCTTTCACAGCAGTAGTAACACATCATTAGCTATTAGTTACAGTAAATAATATTGTTGTGGATACTCATGGAGACTACCTGTACTGTCTGTGTGAAGCTGTATTTGTCATGTGTGTGCGGTGCAGACTGACCTCATCAGGAGCAGAGCACAGGCGGTCCGTGCGTCCGTCCCGTCGGACTCAGGGCTCCAGAAACCCTCTGAGGGCTCTCGCTGCTCGGGAAGACATCAGGCAGGACTACATGGGAGAGACAGTCAACAACACAGCTGCTGAGGAGAGCTCCCAAGCAGAGAAGAGTGAGTGGGACTATGTCTTTGTCTTGACTTTGTCCTCCTTATTCGGCTTCTGCTTGATCTTGAATTTTCCCTCCCGACAGAGTCCAAGAACTCCTCGGTGGCAGATTCACATCTTTCCGCATCAGAAGACTTTATCTGTTCCTCAGATTCTACCAAGTCCTCTCCTCCCTTCAGCAGCCTGATGCTCATTCACGTCAAAGGTCAGAAAATATTTGTTTCCTCTTGTGTGTGCTTATAATGACATCTGTGTGTTGAGGTTTTTGTATTAACTAGTGCTTGTGGTGACAGGAAGGCGGCATGTCCAGGTGCGTCTGGTGGAGCCGTCAGTGCAGTCGCTGAACAGTGGGGACTGCTTCCTGCTGGTCACTCCGGAGCATTGCTTCCTGTGGAGCGCAGAGTTTGCCAATGAACAAGAGAAAGCCAAGGTACAACCGAGGACTGTTTTTATTGTATACGCCGGGGATCAACACAGTATGTTGTCAGCATAAATGTACAGGATGCCACGGTGCAATAGGTGTATAAGGCATTGCGTGCCATAAAATGTGAATTTGGTGAAAATGTGTAAAAAGGCTTCACTTGAAAACCTTATTATCCAACGTTGTAAAACATCACTTTATGTGCTGGACAACAACATCTGCATGCAGTAAAATATATTAACAGTTTCTGGAGGTAACATTGGCAGTATAGATGCTTTGTAATGCTTTCTGCTCTCAGGTTACATAATCTACAGCTTAATATGTATGTTTTGATTACTTTCAGTTCAGTTACTTAATGATCATTTTGCCATGTTGGAGGTTTAAAGTTTCAAATGAAAGATTATAACATTTTGCAGAACATTTGCCACAAGTAAAATTGAATTGTTGGGTTCGTAAATTCACTTTGAACTTTCCAGGTGTTAAATTATGCGACTTCATTAAGAATTTCAGCTGTTTGACTCAAACTAAATACTATAAGGGGACCTCTTTTTGGTAACAGCTGCTATCAAAATACAGTTTGATAGTAAAATTTGCAGTTGTAATAAAACAAAAATACTGTAACTCGCAGCATCTGATGGGCCACAGAATTTGGTGCAGCACCTGGTTTATTACTTGATTCCGTACGCCTGTTCTGCCGTCGTATTAGAAACTGATCATAATTGTTTTTCAGGCCTCTGAGCTGGCATCATCCATCCAGAGTCATCAGGATCTCGGCTGTCGGGCCTCTCAGGTGGTCCGTCTGGAGGAGGGGCTAAACTGTGACAGCAGCGTGGCTGCAGACTTCTGGAGGCTTCTAGGAGGAAGGAGACAATACAGAGGTTAGTGGTCATAACGTCTGCTGAATAGATCGTTTTAGGATTACTGTGTATCATTAAATTGTAAAGGGCAGATTATAAATGAATCAATATAATAAGAATCTATCAACCCGTGTTGCTATGGAAAAGCCAACATACATTAAAAAAAATGAGATGAAAGATTTGTTTGCTTTCTCCACAGGAGCCGGTGCAGAAGAGGAGGATGAGCTCTATGAGTGTGGTGTGGTGGAGTCCAACTGTGTGTACAGGCTGGTGGAGAACAGACTGGTGCCTCATGAACAGTGCTGGGCCTCCACCCCCAGTATCTCCCTGCTGGGCTCCACTGAGGTCTCCTCTTGATTCTCCTGTTTGCTCCATCATTCTTGCTGTTGATAATGTGTTGTTGCCAATTTGTTTTGTGTCAGACATTATGTCAGTTTTAATAGCTCATGTCAGATAGATCACGTCTCAGTTTCAAATCGATGAACCTACTGTACGTGTGTGTGTGCAGACCCTGGTTTTTGATTTCGGCAGTGAGGTGTACCTGTGGCATGGACAGGATGTTTCCCTCAGCAGGACGAACGTTGCTCTCCAGCTGACTCACCAAGTGTGGGTCGGAGCTTACGACTACAGCAACTGTCGAGTCAATCCACTGGATCCCACGCAGTGCAACCCGAACACACCGCAGTAAGTTCACACTGCAGGCGGTAAAGCTTTTAGTTCGTACTTCACGGCGAAAAATACACAGCATATCAATATCGGAACACGTTACAGAAACAGTGGAGTACAGCTGTGAGTATGTACTACACAGTGAGCATACAGCATTACTGCAGCCACACCCTAATGGTCTCTAAAACCAAAGCAAATGCATTGTAATTCCACACTGCCACACAAAACAGCATACAGCACTGTGTCCACATGGCATGCCGTTGTAAGTCCATGCTACTGTATATGCTGCAGCTGGCAAAAGACAGTTGTTTAGAAATTCAATTCAAGTGGACAGAAACCTGTTGAACATGTCATTCCAAAACCATCTGCATTAATCTGCTGGTATAACAGCCTCCACTCTTCTGTGAAGATTTCAGTAACAGGCTGCAGGGGGATTTGCTCCCGTTCAGCCACATTGGAGCATTAGTGAGGTCCAACACCGATGCTGGGTGATGAGGCCTCTGGCTCGTAGTCATGTTCCACGTTCACCCCAAAGGTGTTGGATGGGGTTGAGGTCAGGCATGTCCACATAGCTTTGGCCATATAGTGTATACAGCCATATTTATTCTCTATAAACTCCAAAGCCGTAGAATGCACCTAAATGTGCAGAAATACTAGTACTATAAATACTGAAGAGGCAGGTAAATGTGAGTTAGTAATGATTTCTACTGTCTATTAAGGTTTAAGCCTCTAAAGTGTATATTTGCTGCACTATACTGTCATTATACTCCTTGAAAATGGGTTCCCTTCCTGGACTAAGTCTTTAACTCTGGCCTCAGGAAGGGAGAGGGTCGTCCCAGCTGGGCGTTGTTCGGTTGTGTCTCAGAGCACAACGAGACGGCTCTGTTCAGGGAGAAGTTCCTGGAGTGGACAGGTGGGAAAGGAGGCATGGAGGGAGCTGTTGCAGTGAGCAAGGAGACACAGGTTCATCCCACAGTGTAACATTTATAAGTGAATTGTTGACTGATACCAGGAAGATAACAGTGATTTTAAAGAATCCCTTTTTAGCTTTTAACTTCCAACTCTCCGCAGCCCGCCCCCGTTCTGTCTTCCCAGGCGATGTCTCCACCTTCAGGCGTTCTAAGTGCCTGTGACGCCAAGGCTCTGGTGTCGGGTCAGTCTCTGGGAGGGGACGGCTTGGTCCATAACGTGTTGGCTGGGGTTGACGTCCAGCGCGGGCACGGGGTCATCACGCTGGAGGAAGGATGTCAGATGGAGCTGAAAACAGTTGCTGTGGACACTTGGCATGTCCAGGAGTTTGATGACTGCGAAATTCCTGTGGAGAGCACCGGACAGCTTCACGAAGGAGACTCCTACGTCATCCGCTGGACGTACAGCATCAACACTGTTGGTCAGTGACATCATCATCCCATGATACCCTACCGTCACACTCTTCATTGTGTCTTATTCTGCTGTTTCAGTCAGTGTAATTTGATTTGATATATAAATAGATTTTCTCTGCTGTAGATGAGACAAACAGCCCTGATGAGTGTAGTCCCGGTCAAAAGGAAAACACAGCCTTCTTCCTGTGGCGGGGCCGTCACTCCAGTGTCAGCGGGCGGGACACCGCTGCTTTCCTGTCCATTGGGATGAACAACCATGAAGACTCGCAGGTAAGGTCCTCGGCAAGGTCCTTTGGTGAGGGTTTATACTTTTGTTTCACCACATTTTTGATAGAAACATAATGTGCTTATTAATTGAATACCTGATGACTGTAGTTTGCTGACAAAATGCATTTTAAGGAGTTACAAGCAAAATACACAGTGCATGTGCTCAACATATGTTACAGTTTGACAGATGCAAATGTTAATAATAATGAGGGATGTTTTATTAATGTTAAATATTGTATTCATGTTAAATAATATGAATTCATTATTATTTATTATTGCCTTTTAAAGGTTCCATACCAGAAGTGGACTGAACAGCAGAACCACCTTAAAAACTAAAATATTTCTTCTAGGTTAATGCAACAGTAGTGTGACTCACTGTCATGTAGACTGTGGGTATAAGTCGGCCATTGGACATCTATTTCAGCCTCCTCTTTTTTGGAAAGGGCAGAGTTGCTGCGTCCAGTGCTTAGCGCTGCCCAAAACGATTGTGATTGGTTTAAAGAAACACAAAGAGGCCAGAATAATAAAGTGGAGCCACAACTTTCTTTAGCGCTGTCACAGCACTGTGGAGAGATTAATACAACATTAAGTTAAAGGGAACCATTCTTTACTCTGTGTACAAATATGGAGCTTCTATTTATACTTTTACTATAATAAAGTGGAGACATCTTAAGGCTTATATTGAGTTAGAGAAGTCTGAACTATATGCTGACATCTTCATTTCCAGCAGGACTGTTTTTGTTTACAGCCTGTGTGTTTGTCATGTTGTTTCTGAAGGTGGTGGTACCTCAGGGAAAGGAACCTCCCTGTTTTCTGCAGCTTTTCCAGGGAGGCCTGGTCATTCACAAGGGAAAGCGAGAGGAGGCCTGCACTAATGCAGGTACAGTACAGTAAGGGCATATTTCTGTCTTCCCTGTGTCCATTCTCCTTGTTTTGTCATTTGATTAAAAATAAACCTTATCTGTTTGTCGTGGCAGAGTGGCATCTGTTCTGTGTGCGAGGTGAGCTCCCAGAGGAAGGCTCTCTGTTAGAGGTGGATTGCTGCTGTGCAGGTCTGAGATCCAGGGGCTCTGTTGTCCTGCTCAATAGCCAGCAGGGAGTGCTGTATCTCTGGACTGGCTGTAAAGCTCATAGCAGCTCCAGAGTGGTCAGCAAGAGGGCAGTGGAGCATATCACTCAAATGTGAGTCACATTCACTGGGTGGGCTTTCAAACGGTCCGTTTTTTTTTTAGCATTGAAGGTTGAAATAATTTTCCAGCTTGTGAATTGTATGTGTTACGTATTAGGTGTCCACCAGAGCTGGGTCTCAGCAAAGGCAGCCCGGTGACGGTGCAGGTAGTGGAGGAAGGCTCAGAGCCTGCAGACTTCTGGACAGCCCTGGGGCAGATGGACAGGAAGGCCTACGACTGCATGCTGCAAGGTAGTAAAACAGCTCCTTTCAACTCAGGATATATTTCTTTCCGCTCTGTAAACTTTAAAATCACAGTTAAAAAATATCTTCTGTCAGATCCAGGAAAGTATAACTTCACACCTCGTCTCTTCCACATGAGCGCCTCCTCTGGGAGTTTCCAGGCCGAAGAGCTGCAGAGTCCATCGCGGCTGGCGGGACTCGTGATGGCAGCACCGTTTGTCCAGGAGAGTCTGTACTCTGTTCCACAGCCGGGTGAGAGCACACTCAACTCATACAACTCTGTATCTTGTCAACCTCCCAAGAGAAACATCAAGGTCATTAAATCTAATGTCCACTTTGTTATTTATTATATCACCAATGTTTGTTGTTTGTCCGCCAGCCTTGTTCCTGTTTGACAACCGTCTGGAGGTCTACCTGTGGCAGAGGGGTCAGCCTGACCAGACAGAGAGCTCGGCTTCGGCCTGGAGCTGCTGGCATGACGAGAGGAGGTGTGCCATGCAGACGGCACTGCAGTACTGCAAAGGTAGGAGGAAGATGCTTGTCAGGAAATGAAAGGGTTACTAGGTTTGTCGACGTGTTTAACACATTTTTATGGCTTGTTTCTGTCTCCCAGAGATGAACCCAAGACGCCCACTGCAGGCCTACCTCATATTTGAGGGGTTAGAACCTCTCACTTTTACTAACGTGTTCCCCCGCTGGGAGAAGAGCCTGGGACCCCACACACAGGTCCGAATACCATGCAGTGATATCTATACATCTGCTGCTTCTAATTTTTGAGGTCTAGATATTAATACAGCCTAATGTTGGCGGTCATAGCTGAATCTCTCTCTTACCATGGGTGTGTTTGATGTATGTGTCAGGGCGATGCGGGGCGGGTGAAGCTGACCTTGGTGCAGGACGCCCTGGCCCAGCTCATGAAGACCCAGTACCCTCTGGAGGAGCTGCTGCGGAGCCCATTACCTGAAGGAGTGGACCCCCAGCGCCTGGAAGTCTACCTGTCTGATCAAGACTTTCAGGTAAACTGACGGAGCAGTATGCAGTGATGTCTTTCAACCAGCAGGCCGCAGTGTTCGCCGTATTTTGCAAATGGAAATGAATGCTCTAATGCAGGGGTCTTCAACGTGTTTCAGGCCAAGGACCCCCAAACTGATAGAGAGATAGAGCAGGGACCCCCTACTATATATATTGTATAACATTGTTTTATATTAAACTGGGCCTAGTGCCGTGAATACCTCTTTATTGTGCATTCAATACTAAGCTATTCAAATAATACAGGTTCATATATTCATGTTTTTATTTTAAACATGTGCAAGGTACAGTGAGTAGGGAGGCCGTGCCACTGCCATTTAGAAACATAGCTTGTCAACTGATGCAAATATCAACATTGTCTGTCAATTGCATGATAATCGTGCATACAAGCTATTCAAATTGACGTTTTTATTTTAAACAAATCTGGCCTACTAGTGCCACTGCCATGCATAAACATACCTGTTATCTTTCATGCAATACTGAACTATTAAAATAATGGACAGATTCATGTTAGGATTTTTTTTATTTTTTTAAAATTGTCTAATCAACCAAAGATTTCGCAGACCCCCTGCAGTACCTCCGCGGACCCCCTAGGGGTCGCGGACCCCCTGTTGAAGACCTCTGCTCTGTTTTATAATCTGATGATGAATCCTGAGAGGAAGTCGAAACATTAACATTTATATTTAATTATATGAATTGATTTTCACATTGTTTCCTCTGTAAATAAATCTCTACAATTTTATGTTTCAGACTATTTTGGAAATGAAGAGAGATGAATATGCTTCCCTCCCAGACTGGAAGCAAATTGATCTGAAGAAAAGCAAAGGGCTGCTTTGCTAGACAGCGAAAACAAATGGAGGCTGACTGGCGCTCTGAAAGCTGGGACTTCCTCCTCCACTGAGAAGGGAAGATGGCAGGGGGGCATCAGCACCATGCTGCTGCACAAAGGACTGCTTACAAAGTAATAAAAAGAGCAAAGAAATTCACTTTTATTGATGTCAAACTAGTATGAGTGTGTGAACTCTTTATCAGACATGGATTTCTCTGTACCCAAACACATTTTCCTATTAAATTGTATCTGTACAAATCAGTGAAAGATAAAAAGAAAAAGGCGTGTGGGAGTGAAGGAAGGACATCAGTAACAAACTGGGATACGGGTGAGAAAACAAAGGAGTGCATAAAAAAGGTTCAATGCTAAAAAAAACAATGTAAACAAGAAAAAATAAAAGGCTAAACTTTCTAGTTTTCCTCCTCTATTGATGCCTTTACATTAAAACATCTCTGCATGCTCAAAGCTACCGTTTTTGCTGAATTTCAGTTAACAGATTTTTAAAACCGCCGATTCGCCTCCCGATTGTCACCAAAACCTTAAAACTAGTGTTTGACTCCGTAGTCTGATGTGTATTTTACAGTCGTGTGTCATACTGATGTGTTCATTTGTCTGCCTGCCTTGTGTGTACAAAGGTTCGTGCCATGTGTATTGCAGCTTAAGCCCATGTGTTCATTGTGGCTGTGGGTAAGCTAATGCCTTATTAGGACTCCTTGGGGATTCACTATTAGCTATGCATGAGAGAGCAGGTAGACATGCTCCAATAACATTCCTCTGGCCCAAAACAACACGCTCATTCTGCTCCTCAATCAACACGCTGTTCCAAACAGCCTCACATAACACGGTAATACACAACGACATACTGTATCTCTATCGTGTGAACGCTCAATATTTCTGCTGATGGTGATGCACTTAAAATGTCTTGATACTTTGATATGTGTAATATCCTTATTACTGGACGAATGTAGATAGAAACAGAAGCTACTGTTGATTTTATAGTTTAAGCTTTTTCTAAAAACGTTTTTGTTGTCAGAATTAAAGAACAAGTGTTTCTTGACTCACTGTCCACTGCTGACTGTCAGAAAATCATACCGGGGAAGAACAAGACTTCTACAACTGCGCAAGCAGCCCTATGAGGCTGTACTTGATGTAAACGCTAACATCAGCATGCTAACATGCTCACATTGACAACACTAAAATGCTGATGTTTAAGTTAACCATGTTAGTTTAGTGTGTCAGCATGCTAACATATGCAAATTAGCACTAAACACAATGTACAAAGGGGTAAATGAATATCTGCTGATTTTTAAGGCAAAGGTTGTTGAGACACTCAATCCCAATGGTGGAGCTGCTGATGGCACTTCAGGAAAGGGCAGGGGATCACCAAAGTCAATGGGATTCATCCTCTGGGAACCATGAATGTCTGTCCAAATGTTTGTGCTAATCCATCGAGTAGCTGTTGACATACTTCAGTGTAGACCAAAGTGGTGCTTCTCCATCGATAACAGCCTCAATTTATCATAATACGATGCAGCAATGGGACAAAAGGGAATTACTCAACAGGAAAAAAACTCTTACTCTGCTGCTGACGTGGCTAAAACTGGTTTCAACTCACAGGCCGGCTATTTCTAACGGCGTAAGAGTATCTGAGGGATGTTTTAGCACATTCACAAGTCACGCTGACCCCACAAATTGTAAATAAGTCCGGTTAGTCTTCCATGGGTCCACTGAGCTGGAACCCCTTTGGGTTCACTGGCTAACTGGATGTTATTTTCCTCAGAATGGATTAGCTGACTAAGCCTCCATGTGACTGGTGCAGTGCTAGCGAGATTGGATTTAGGCCCACCGCTGGGTGATGGCGCACACGAGAAAAAAGATTTCCAAGACCTCTCCCTCACAGGCACTTTGAACAGACCAAGTCTAGATCTGCTGCAGGTTACACACATACAAACCTCACCTGTATCTGAATGTGTGACATCTACTTACTATGTAGCTGTAGTGAATGCAGAGTCAATTTAAGCACTTTTTGGTAAGAATATGATAAAGAAACAATTTCCAAGGTTTCTTTTTTTATGCGAGAAGTGAAAATGAGGGACGGAGTCAAGTCCCTGCATCCATCAGCACAGCATTCAGAGTCCTTGTTAATTTGGACTGGATGATAAGTTTGGTAGGCGTGCTTTTTCCAACACTGTCTTGCAGAATATGTGCTTTTTAAGTGTCAACTGAGTACAGAAGCACATGGATAACATGGACATATTGTATTTTGTGTTGGTATCTTTTTTTTTTTAAATGTCTAGATGGCCTGTTCTCTCTGTGCGTCAGCTCCAGGCATGCTTCGATCCGGTTCCGAGGCCAGCGCCGCCTCGCGCAAAACCACCATGTGATCTTCGGCCGCGTTGAGCGACTGGTCGATCCAGTCCATACTGCCAGACATGTGACAGGCGTTGCGGGTGACCAGCACCAGGTGGCTGACTGAAAGGAGGAGAGCGGTGGCCCTGAGGAGAAAGGAAAGGACAAAAGGATTCGATTTAAAGCACTTATTCCCCAAAAAGCGTTTAAAATGAAGCATAAAAAAGGGTCTATTGAGATCAATCAGAGTCGAGGCTCTTTAGATTAAGCTATCAGAGTCATACAAAAAAAAAGCTCCCTTAAAATGATGGGACAACAAGTGTGATTACCTGGCATCCAGGAGGATTGGATCCAGAGGAGGGTACATGGACCTGACCACGTCGTCCACCCTGCGAGGAGGCGGGACAGTGAGGACGTGCAGGAGCAGGTTAGACTGAGTCAGTAATGTGTCGGTGAGAGCTGCGTCTGGATCTTATACCGTACCTGGGGCCGATGCGTTTGGCCACACTGATGATGTCACTGAGGCTGGCCGGTGCTTTGACTTTTGCCCCTGAACCCATTGTCATGGCAACCAGCTTTTCGGTCAAAGTGTGGCAGATCTGTGTGTGTGGAAGTAATACGCGTCGGAATCAGTGGATAAGAATATAGACCAAAGATGGAGGAAAGGCACTAGTAATAAATTCAGTTACCTTCAGGATTGAGATGCAGTGAGAGACCAATCCACTGTGGAGAAATGAATCACAGAATTAGTAAGAAGAAGTACCGAGATATCTGAGTAGCAATACTAAAGTGTAGAAATACTTTAAGAGTAAATGTCTCGCAATCAAAATGTTGAGAAAAAGTACAAAATTATTAGAATGGAAATATAATTTAGGTACCAAAAGTTAAAACACTTGTTATGCTGAATGTCCAATTTCACAATAAATTATCCAGATTCTCTACATTGTATTATATTAATTAATGCATTATTGTGTACATTGCTTTAATGTTACAGCTGTTAAAGGTGGGACTAATTTGCATTACTTAATTACTTTATCTCAATGCTTATACACTGCTGGGTTGTGAATTTCTCCCCTGGGGATAAATAGTCTGATCTTAACCTCGAATAATACACCATATTTTACTTGTGGATTATATTTTGTACTATTAATCTGAATGCTCAAATTAATATTAGTTATTAAATAAATGTAGTGCAATTAAGAGTACTATTTTCCCCCTCTAAAATGTAGTGGATTAGAAGTACAAAGTATCAAAAAATTGTAAACTTTAAACTCATGCTATTGTGGCACCAGTAAGACGTACGAGGCGTCCTCTATCCAGTCCTCGTTCTCCAAGATGGCCTCAATGTGAGGGTTGGTGATGACCACGTCATCCAGCTCCAGCTCCGACTGCTCACTCTGGGTCTCCATGGCTCCAATCAGATCCACTGTGGGTCTATAAAACAGAACAGGGAAAGCAGAGGAAGCACGGCTGGATTACCAGCCAGAAAGCCACAGTTCCATTACATTTAGATTGGCTGCGGTGAATTGATTGATTGATTGCACCAGTAAAGCCAGTTTTTAGTGGCGGTAGGTTCAGTTGTTGCGCTGTAGTCTAAAGGGGTCCTGTGTCTCTGCTCACAATGGATGCGTCCTGTGTAGTCTGCTGTACTCATTGTGAATTTGGAGGCAGCAGAGTACATATACACATTTGGTGGGATGTGGGGGAATGAATTGGGCTCCAATATGGCAAATGTTTTTCCTGGTAGGTTGTGGAAATCAATTAAGATGATTTTTGACCTTTTATTCAGAACAATTTAAAACAATACACGAAAACAAAACTAGAAACCTTTGGTTGTACATATAGTAACTAATCACAGTGTAAAGCTCATCAATGGGATGGAAAGGCAACGGAAAACACATCAAAAAGATATAAATTGTTGAGGTAAATGAAGTCCAACTGAGGTTGAGAAGTACCTCCACAAAACTACTTTTTAAAAAGTAATGCTAAACTATTGGAATACTAACCCTTATCGTACACAATCAAACAGCTGTGCAGGAAATTTGACAGGTAAACTAAGACCAAAATAACCAATATTTTATACTTTGAACTAAATTTTAGGAGCTTATATTCTGATGGAAGTTGAAACACTGATACAGATTTAAGAGGCCTTGTATTGATTCACTGACTTGGAGTCGAAAGGGTACAGCAGGTGGTGAGGGTGGCAGTAGCGGTGTCTGCACACCACCACCAGGGCGACGAAGGAGGCCAGGAAAATGGTGGCCAACACCCCAATGGCCACGATTACCACTGTCTCCATGGCGACTCCGGCTCCCACCGCGGCTGCAGCGGCAGCAACTCGTTGAAAAGGAAGAAAGTCCTAATCAGGGTCGGCTGATTGTCCAAGCTCGATTATGGATGGCCGCTCATCTGTCGAGGAGAGTAATTGGTGGTTTCAGTCTGATTGGGCGACGTCAAACCAGAGAAGAGTGAAACTATTACCGTACTTGAGAACATTTCTGAAAGACATTTCCCTGATTTCCAAACACAATGCACCTCTGAGCCAATGGAGAGGATAATACAGTGCAATCAGCAGTGTTTTGACTGTTTCTAAATGTGGCACACCTTCAACTCACATAAAGCTGATCTTTATCTGAGGAGCCGACACAAAACCCTGAAGTGCACCTGTTCTTTGTTTGCACTTCACACACCATAATGAGAACAGTACGTTTGCTGTACAGAGACTTTTTATTTTGCTAAATCGGATTCGGGGAAACCACAATCAACAACAAACACTATATTGATTCTATTGATCTTTAACAACCAGCCACATAACAAAAACTTAAAAATCTGTGTGACGATTTCCTGTTTCTCCTCCCTTTGATTTGCCAGCAGTACACACACACATCTGAACCCTCAAACGAAGAAATAAACTCCGGAACAAAACTCTCAAGACCTTTGACCTCTTACCATCTGATGTTTTCAGTCCCGGCTGAAGTACTTTTTGGATTATCTGCAGTTAAATTTAGGTGGCATGTTCCCACATTTAGCCTCTCTGTGAGAGTGTAAAGTGTACCTGCCCTCTGCTCAGTCTCGTCAATCATTAACCCGTCCTGCCCCACCTGATCACCCACGTGGGATGTGAGTAAACTCTCTGGAGGAAAGCTGTCATTGGCTAACCAGACAGCTCTTTAGGTAAAGTCGAGGATAATCGATTTGTGTTTAGGCATAACATTTATAAAGCAGAGAGAGAGAGAGAGAAACACAGGGCAGCTGACCTTTCAACATTACAACATTGTAAATCTGCATTTTTTTTCCCGGATGATTATGTGAGATTCTGCCATGGAATGCTGTAATTCTTTAATCAGATTAATTTGTGTTACACTCACCGTATCATACAGAGCTTTATCCCGTCTCTATGCTGCCTAAAGCCTCTCTGACTCTCTTTTCTTTTCTAGAAATCCCTCTGCTAAAATAAAACTCTTACAAAGGCAAATGGAGGTATTTTAGTACACAGAAAAGGACTTTTTTTAGGGGAACATTTCCCCTAAAGTCTAAGCCTCAATGCTGATTGAGATCACACTGGTAGTCTTTACCACATGTAGTGAAGTTGTGGAAAGTAACTAAGCACATTTACTCACTGCTTTTTCCTTGAGTGTGTCCATTTTCTGCTACTTTATAGTTCTTCTTCACAACATTTGAGGGGAAATATTGTAGTATTTACGCCACTACATTTATCTGACTAACCGCTTTAATAACTTTTCACAGCAAGATTTTACAAAAAAACAAACATATGATGAGCTATTAAGGTACACTCCACTACATTTATCTGAAAGCTAGAGTTTCTGTGCATTGCAGAGTCACATTTGACATAAAAAACCCTGATGAAGTGCTGAATATTAGAACGTCCCTGTTGAGAGATGTGCAATGTGGCGGAGATAAACAACACAGATAATGAATAAAATCGTGTACAACTTAATGTTATATCTCGCCACGTTCCCTATTCTCCCTCAGTGTCAAAATGAACACAGACAGGCGCGCGCGCAGTAACGCAAACGGTGTTTTACTAAACGTCTGCTGAACATTTCTAAAGTTAAACCACCAACACTTTTGATTTGAATGAAGCACCAAAACAATTGATTACTTACCGAAACATTTTTTCCTTAACGTTGGATTTCTTTTAGGAGACAAAATACTTTTCTCTCTGCCAGCATGCGCGCGGAGACGGCACCGACATCTCCAAATCTGGGGCGTGAACGCGCACGGCTGAGCTGAAGCTGTCGGTGAGTGACTGATGATCAAACTTTCCTTCCTTTTCCGTAGAAAACCTCCGCCCCTCACCCTTTTCTTCTGCGCGTGGGTCGACACGCCTCTCGACATCGATGTTGGAGCTGCGTGCGGAATGCGCGCTCTCGCTACCATGTTCGTTAATGCTGAAGATACAGTGTTATGCGAATATGACCCGATATGAACACACGTGGATACAGTTAACGCTAGGTGGCGTGCGCCAACCGCCACATTGTTTGGTTCTCAACGTATGGGAGAAGGTGAAGACATGACCAATGATCAATGTTTCTGTCGTGTGTTGAAGCTACACGTGGAGTTGGTTGCAAATTGTAACGCTAAATTAGCAAATTAATGCCAATGTTAAATATGTGTAAGTCACTCTATCAGTGGTGGAAGAAGACTTTACACATATCTTATACTTCAGTAAACGCAGCAATACTGCTCTGTAACAAGTAGAAGTCCTGCGTTCAAAATGTTTTCTTAAGTACAGAACAGCTAAATGTAATTGCAGTATTAAAGTAAAAGGATTTCTTGGGCAGAATGGTCCCATTCAGAGATATATATATATTATTAAATATATCATATTATAGGCAGTGGTGTAAGAAGTGCTCCGATATTTAAAGGGAGAAATATGAAAACCACAGAGTAAAAATCAGTAAAAGTCATCATCAATCATAGTAATTATGGTAAATATGGGGCTAATTTTAACAATTATATACATAAATGTCAGGTAGCTTAATATACACTAATGCATCATAATTTATTAGTTGATTTATATTTTGTAATGATAATCTAAATCTGCAAAGTAACCAATAACTAAAGGTCCCAGATAAATAAGAAAGTGCAATATTTGTCTCTGAAATGTAGACTAAAGGTATAAAGTACCATTATTAAGAAAATGACTAGGGTACTGTACAAATACTTCAAAATGTATTTTATTAAGTGCAGTGCTTGAGTGAATGTACTTGGTTACCTTTCACCACAGAAATAGATTATAATATTCATAACTATGTTTTAATTAGTGACGACCTGAAACTAAGAATCATGTTTTTGTTAGCTTAGAATGAACCCTTCATATATACAGAAGCCCAGAATGGACAAACCAAACACTGGCTTTTATGTCACCTGAAGGCCACTGTTAGTTCTCCGACACACTTGGAGAGGGAGTGATGAGCGGAGGGGCATTCAGGCGGTTGCAACTTCACCGCTACTAGCCACTAAAGCCTAGCACTGGTCCTTTAAACAATTCATAAATTGATCAAATTGACATGTTTACATCTACAATTCCATATCAACAGATGAAATTGCATCAGCTGATGCTGATATAATCTAAAGCTCCAGAACTAAATGGAGCTTGAGGTAAGATTGTTTTGACAACTATATTCATCTACGAAATCCAAACTAGAAAGGGATAAATGTGAAAAGAATTGAATGTGATTTGGTTGGCAAGTGATGTTTCAATATACAGTATATCAGCCTGGTGCTGATATGATGTTCCTTCAACTTTGCAGAGTGGATGAGGTGCTGCTTTCCATGACAAACATGCAGGATGAATTCACAGAATACAACTTTAAACAGGTATGAACCTTGCATACACAGTTTGGTGCCTGTTGTCATACATTGATGCCCTACATCCACTTTTCCCTGCATGCTCCTCTTTGCTGGAGCAGATCCACGCCACCTGCAGAGATAATTATCCCCTGACTGAATCCAACATAAAAGCAGGGTACCTCAGCGCGGAGCCTGCAAAAGCCGGCTAACGTCTGAGCAGTCCTGCCAATCGCAGCGATGCCTCATTAGGTGCGTCTGTGCAGCATTCTGGAACATGTCTTTGAAGTTTCACTCGGCACAAGAATAGATCCCAGAGTAAAAAAAAATATATTTAACAATGCGAGCTTGGGTTAGGGGACAGAAGTATAGATTCTCATAGTTTCACTGAAACACCTTTACAACTCAACATCATGACCACGATGATGAATTATTTCTGTATTTGCTGCTCACACAGACATCCACCCTTTCATCCACCTAGCCTAAGGGCAGTTAGTTGTCTTTCTTCTCATGTAACTGTCCTTGAAGGTGCTGAGGTTGCTGTCATGAGAAAAGGAGCTGTAGAGGAATGTCTTTACGTTATTTAGTGCACTGAGTTTTCAGAAAAACAAACACTTTATTCCTGGTGAATTGTTTTGTTTTTCTTTCATTTCCCATGTTGTAGATAACAGAGAGGTCCTCTGACACGCAGGATGTGATGCGTTTGACACGTTTGGCAGCAGCAGTTGTTTGGACCAGCAACTGTAAGAATTTGATAATTAGCATGAATGAACAGCTAAGACTGCTGGGAAATGCACAGGAGAAACATCAAAACAATATATGTTAATCACCAAAGCTCTCACTAATATAGCAGACAAAGTAAATAAACAACCCAGAGACATGATAGTAGAACAAATCAACAAAAATGCTCCATGATGTTGTTGCGCCTCCTTATTATTGTTATAAGATATATTACTATTATAAAGTTATTTTTAATCAAAAGAAAATGTATAAAAAAAAATAAAAGCACCAGACTTTTGCAACTACTTTTTTTTTTAATTAAGAAATGAATTGGCTGATTGATCAATATTGGTTGCGGCCATAATACGACGTGCACAATTACAAAAAAATAAAAATAATCACTACATATTCTTGCCACGGAGTTGCAGTAATATGTAAGTTACAGTGTTCCAATAAACATTTATTTGTAAATGAGGACGAGGCCAGTTGTCCTCTGGCTACAGGAAGCAGGTGGAGTTTTCTGAAGTTTCCTCTTGAATCTGTTGTTTCACTGCAGGTTTACAGAAGCAGCCATTAGTATGTTGGAATGTTTGCCCACTGGCTATAATTGAAGCCAATGGATTGTATCACAACAGAAATGTCCACCTGTTGTCTCCTCCACAAAATGTGAGAGACAAACTGGTGTGCCAGCTGCTGAGAGCTTCAGTCGACACGATGTAGTAAATGATGCATGACAACAACAACTCAACTCAACCCAACAACTCCTCTTTATTTCATTTCCCATGATTCCAGACATGCTCCTCGCATCATGGATGGATTCATCACATACCGAGTTAGTTCATATCTATGTAATTTGCTCTCATACACTAAACAGAAGGGAAACGGGAACATATTTCTTCTTAGTTATTGGAATATGGATCATCGTAGCTTTGGACTGTCAGCCTATTATGACGGATCAATGTGGAGAGAGGAAGTGGGTTTGTTTACAGTCCCAGTGGCCTTTCATGGCATGTGTGGCCTCATGCAGAGGAGTTTACACATACAAGTGTGTGTATGTGTGAAGGGTGGTGGTGGTGGTGGTGGTGGTGGAGGTGGTGGTGGTGGAGGGGGTGGGGGGGGGGTCTTTCTTTAACAGATGGCTGAGGGTGGCCTTTGAGAAGCTGTGGATCTGGAGCAGCACTCTGATGATTTATCTATTTCTTGCCGTCTCCTCATCAGAAACAGTGGGAAACATTCTTCACTGTCGGTGCTTGACAACAGTCTTTGTGTTCGATGCCTGTTGTTGAGAGAGTTGCATGCGACACAGATATGCTTCCCTCAGCCTGCCTGGCAGGTGTGGTCGTTTAAGCGGCAAATCAATCAACTTTTGCAATTTCTTGCCCTGTTATTTTCACATTATTTTGATGTCTAAGATTGTGATTAAATTCAATGTCTATGTGTTAAAGCGATGGGTTCAGCCTTCAGATGTAATCAAGTTTTTTTTCCTCTCATATTTCCCTGCATGAGTTCAGGCTTTACTTCAAGCGACTGAAAAAATATTTGCTTGAAAATAGAAATGTAGAAATTGTTTTCATCTCCTCCAACAATATATTGGAAAATATTACCGGCCAGTCTGCAGAGAGAATTGTTGTCGGAGCCCTTGTACCCCCTATTGTATTCTCTATGCCCATCTTATGTGTTTTGCGGGGGTGGTAATGCTTCCCAGATTTGAGAAAAAAAAAAAAGAAGATGTTTTGTTTTCTCTGTTTTATCAGCACTCTGAAGCTGGAGGCAAACCATGACAACACCATCTGTACCAGAAATGCTGCAGAAGAACAGAGACAACCCATAAATGTTGGTGAAGAGGAATTACTCTAAAAGATGGGGTCTAAGGCAAAGGTAAGATAAAAGTACAAACCCCAAGAAACACAAACAGGTATAAGAAATCTACGTTTTATTCTGAGTTTGGTTTGTTTTAGACTTAAACTCAGAAGCCACCACCACCACCACCACCTGAAGGGATCTGAGAGTCATTTCTTTGTGGCTCGTTACATCCGATTGATTTGTGTTTTGTGCATAAGAGTCATCACCTGTCCGCTTTGTGTTTGACATTTACAGTTTGACAACTTGTGATTTGTAACAAAACAATTTCATGCAGCTGCATTAAGCTTGAATGAGCATGCATTCCTAGAAACAAAACTCAGCATGGCTGCCACAAATGGCTGCGCCATTGTCAAACAATTTCTTGATAATTCAATGAGAAACGATTGAAGTGTAGTGTGAGTTCAGTGACGTGTGGTGGTCGGGGAGTGCTGCACAATGTGACTGGGAGGAAGTTGGGCTCTCTCAGCCTGCAGCCACTGTGACCTGGATCTAGATTTGCATCAGAAATGGCAGAAATAGATGGACAGATGAAGTGCACGATGTCAGAAAAGTGT